AGTGCTTGGGCACTGCCACACACTGGAGATCTAGACTCTTTTCCCAGCCTGTGCCTGGCACAGCCCTGGATGTCGGAGGCATTTGGGGAGTAAACCAGTAGATGGAAGATCCCTCTGACTTTTTCTTAACAACAACAAAACAGCAGCATCAAAAAGAAATGAAATCAATTAAAAATGTGTATTTTGCTAAAAAAATACTTTTCCTAATATTCAAGAGATAAACAGTGTAAAAAAGCTATGTAAAGAGTTTTTATAGGAGCTTATAAAAACAGAGTACTAGGACTATTGTAATATGGAGATAAATTTTAAGCAGGCATTTCTAAAAATATACCAAACATCATTTCTATTTATAATCTAAAAATGATAGGTTTATTTCCAAATATCTATTTTGCTGGAATCATCCTGTTTAAAATTTAAAACTACTGATTTTGGAATGCCTAAATCATTTATGAATAGAGACTAGTGTGGTAGCAGGGTAACAAAGCCATTTTTGTGTTTTGATTACATATTAAATAGATTACCCTGGGTGAATTACATAAATTCCCCGAACTGCAGTTTGCTTATCAGTCAAATAAGGTTAAAAGGAATTATAAGAGAGCTCTAAATAATAATAACAACAATGGAATTAAAGGTAAAGCTTATTTTGGTGCAAAAAAATGTGAAATCCATACATATGAGAGGTTCTCAAATACTATGTGAAAATGTGTTTTACAAAAAATTACTCAGGAGTTTAAAACTTTTTTTGCACCAAGATACATTTACCTTTAATTTCATTTCTCACAACATTTTGAAGTACCCCCACTATGAGAATATGTATAAAAATACTGAAGAAGTATTGCAAACAGTTGTCACTTAACATATTAAAAAGTATTTCAGCAATCAAAAGCCTTCAATAGTTGTATTCCAAGCCATTAAGACAAAAGCATGCAACATGTGTTTACCAAGTTCTTACTGTCAAATTATAAATGTTACTAAGGAAGAGGATGAAGAGAATTCACCTTATCCTTATTCTAAGTAGTAAAGCAATAGCTAACATCTTTCACACCTATACAAGTTTTTGTAGCTAAGATATAATGGAATGGGTATACTTACAGGCCTGTCAACTCCCCTTGACTTACAGGTCACACAGTTATAATCTGATCTGAACGGCATGACATATTAAGGCCAAAGTACAAGCAAACTAATAACCACTAAAGATTAAACCCAGGTCTTATTAGCTGTCATTAATTGGATAGAAAACTTTACTAAAAATGGCCTATGTCTCTTAAGCCTTCATATCTACGTCTAAAAAAGCAAGTGAAATTCAAAACTTTAGAGATTCTGTTATGATTCAGGTAATCTCACCTGAAATGTGAAATGCTAAAACCAGTGGGTCGACTATACCACTACCACACCACTCGGGTTCTACAAAGAGCAATCTGCATGTCACTCCAAGGAGCATATTTAAAAATAAGTGAAGGTGGATTTTCATAAAGCATAAAAAAGTAACTAATTAATTCAGAATTGAAATGGCCTTGTAACTTTTCAGGAAGGCATTGCCAAACGGAAAGAAACTGAAAAATCATGCACACTTGGTGTCCAGCAAATGTAAGAAATCTATTTCAAACACATTATCAGAGATGTGCATGTGCGTACATATCAAATGTGTACATACAGATATAAGTAAAAGAATGATGATATAGTTTATAATAACAGAAAAAAATTAAAGGCAATTTGACCACGGAATCCTCTTCAACTAATAATTTAAAACAAAAAGAAGAGGCTTCATATAAAATGTTAATTGGAAAAGAGGTAAACAAAACTACATTGTGACTAGTACCAATTTTATCTTTCACACAGGAAAACAATTATATGTGTAAAAGTAATTGCAAAAATGGCAATAGATACTCAGAAGAAAGGACATCAAAATCTGCCGTGTGAGTATGACAACCTGTAACAGTAGCACATGTGACTTTTTATCCCAAGTACATATTTTTTATCAAGCACATCAATTTTAATCTGAAGTACTTCTTACAGAAAAGATGCCGCAGTTATTTATCAGAGATTATGAAGCAATTCATTGACTCACAGAGTACTCTCCAACTCAAAGAAAATTCACCTTCTAAGAAAACTTTCTACTGCTAATTTAAAAATCAATAGGCCTCTGCCAAGACCAGAGATGGAAGAGCAGATTTTCAAAGACTGACAGCCAAGAACAGCATCAATTTCAGAAGTAACATCAATAGCCACTGGCTAGCAGTTCTTTTCTTGGAAAGAGGAACAGAGGCTTAAGTTAGCTGTAGCAAACAAAAAACAACAAATTTAGAATTGCAAAAAAAAAAAAAAGATTTCTCCTTTTTCTTTTTGATTAGGAAGGTTGCTGCCTAAGTGAAATATACAATCTGACCAATTACTACAATCATGAACATCACTGAACATTTTTACATCTGACAGCACTAAACACTACTGACTGCAGCAGAGCTTGAGAGAAGTGTTGAAAGGGACATTAAGAAAGTCTCTCATTTTATTTATTTAAAATATTTATTTGAAAGGCAGAGTGTTGGGAGGGGTGAGAGAAAGAGGAAGAGAGAGGGGGGGGGGAAGAAATAGAGAGCAATTTTCTAAACACTGGTTCAATCCCCAAATGGCCACAACATCCAGAACGGGCCAGGCCAAAGTCAGGGACCAGCAAATCCACCCCGCCTTCCAAGGGGATGGCAGAATAACCAGGGACCTGAGCTGTTCCTATAATACAGGACGCTGGTATCACACAGCAGCTTAACACACATTGAGCCACAGCACCCACTCCAACCTCTCTCTCGCTTTTTTAAAGATTTATTTTTTTATTGGAAAGGTGGATATACAGAGAGGAGAGACAGAGAGGAAGATCTTCTGTCCGATGATTCACTCCCCAAGTGGCCACAACGGCTGGAACTGAGCCAATCCGAAGCCAGGAGCCTCTTCCTGGTCTCCCACGTGGGTGCTGGGTCCCAAAGCTTTGGGCCGTCCTTGACTGCTTTCCCAGGCCACAAGCAGGGAGCTGGATGGGAAGCAGGGCCACCGGGATTAGAACTGGCACCCATATGGGATCCCGGGCGTGCATGCAAGGTGAGGACCTTAACCACTATGCCATGGTGCCATGAAACCTCTCTTTTTTATAAAAGTACTTCTGATCATATCAAGTTGGTTAATATCAGAATTATATATCCTATGACAGGAAAATTATATCCTCAATTTCCAGTTAAGACAGCAAACCATGAAAACATAGGTAGTTATAAACTCAATTCACAAAAACGTTAAGTATCACCAGAACATGTTTAAAATGTTAATGTATTTTAAGTGAAATAAGAGCTTCACAAAACTAAAATACAGGTTGGAAGCATGTAATTCAAAAACCAAGAAAAATTACTCCTCTTGTAAACCAGGGTCTGTGGTGCTGGCATCCAATAGGCACTGTTCTGTATCCTCACCGCTCTACTTCTGATCTGCTCCCTACACGTGCCTGGGGAAGCGATGACGGCTGGCCCAAGTCCTTGGGCCCCTGCACCCATGTGCGAGACCCAGAAGAAGCTCCAGGCGAAGCTCTGGGCTCTCTGCTTCACACCGACACGGCTTGGACAACAGTGACCATTTGGGGAGTGAACCAGCAGATGGAAGATCTCTTCCATCTCTCCCTTTCTAATTCTTTCAAGTAAAATACCAAAAAACAAAAAACAAAGAATGTCCTACTTTTTCATTAGGGATAAATAAAAATGCAGGATAGAAAACATCATATATTAGGCTGTCACAATGAACTTGGATAAGAACACGATCCTATAATTGTAAAACAAAAAGAAAATAATTAAAATTCTAAAGAGTAAACTATTTTAAATATTTATGGGAATAAAACTTTTACCTTCTTTTATATGTACTTGTATATTCATGTGTACATAGATCATATATTTTCTTGGTATTTAGACAACACATGTCAGAGTTAAAGGTAGTTAAAACGAAGTGCTTATGACAGCTTTCCTATTACTCGAATGTAACATGCCTTGGGAAAATTTGGGATTGTACAGGAAGATCAAGGGAACATAACTCCTTATACAACCTGGTCAGAACATACAGTTTACTTCTCTTCTTTTTCACAAAAGTACTATGGACACAAAGAAAAAGCAAAAATCCTCAAAACCATGATTCTCTTCCACTTACGCAAAAACAAGAAATATGTGTTTTCCCCAAATATCATAATCAAAATGTAAATTATTTTTTAAGAAAAACGAAAAAAATGACTCACCTTTTCATATTAAATATTTACCCCTAGTTCCACAGGGTGTGTGTTTTGGTTTTTTTTTTTTTCCTATTAGAAGGGCTCAGTAGAAACTAATGCCAACCTTTCTAACTGGAATAGGAATAAAACACTCCCTCAAAATTTTAAAAAGATAAACAATGTTTCAAACAGCACTAATATGATAAAAAAAAAAATACTGTCTCTTCAATTGAATAAAAGCTGCCTCTTTCCTAATTTCTTACTTAACTACTCCCTAACCAGAAACCATATTTGAGGCAATTTTACTTGACCAACACCCATTTCCTATTGAGACAAATGATTCATGACCTGGTGTCTTAAACCATTTTTTTTAAACATTGGGATATTTGGGATTTAATTACATGGATGAATGTGAAAACACAATCACAGAATTCAACATTTCATGGCTGTAACAGTTACAGCACCTGAAAATTAAGGGCCAAATTCTGGGGGGGAAAAAAAAGCTCCTTAAAAAAAAAAAAAAAAACACACACCAAACCAAGATAACCATACCCCATACCCTTTACAACAGTATCTGGCCAGCCAGTACCCGAGGCTGGCATGCTGTCCCAGGCATCTCAGGATGGCGGCACACTCTCCTATGTGTTGCAACACCCTCCAGATCTGCAACCGCGCTGCAGTCATGAATAAACATTTTCCTCTAAATTCCAAGGCTGTGTGGCCATCTCAGGCATGCAGCATGCCCTTCCTTTAGGAAATGGATTCACATTACCTCCAACCTTTGGGCCACCTGCTGAACCAGGTTTCCTTGCACTGTTGACAGGATTTCCGGATGTTTTAGGTGCAGGAACCTTGAAGGCTGAAGCAGCTGATGACGGCCTATTTCCATCCACTGATTCTTCATCATCAAAGCTTTTATCTGCACGAAGCATTAGAAAAATGTATTGAGGAGGAGAACTAAGCTTTGCTCCATTTTTTTTTATAGGACTCAGAAATAAAATAAAGCCATATACAAATCATTACTTTGGTAAGAGACATAATACAAAATAAAAGTCCTTTGAATAAGTATTCATGTACTGGCTAACACTACATACCTTTCTAATTTAAAAATCAAAATTCAATGTTATCACAATTCCTGCATATATATATAAAGCTAAAATATACAACATATTAATTCTAAGAGTAGGTAAAAAGCATCTTTTCATTTTCTTGCCACTCACAAGCATTTTCCACCAGCTCCTCCCATAGTGCATCTTCCAGCACGCCCTGTCTATGCCCAGATTCTGCAACTTACAATCACAGATCCGTTTGCAGATCAGCCGCCTCATTCCTCTGAGAGCTCTTAATTTCCCTCACCCTAGGATGCTCCCAACAGTTCACATGGCCAAATACAGTAAATTCGATACTAAGCAAGGATTCTATCAAAAACAGATAGAAACAACCACAGAACCATCACTGAGGTTTGTGCCGGCATTTTTCTTTCTCTTCCCTGCCCTAGGTGCTGGAACAGCCAATCAGCAGCAAGGTGACATCATCCTATGGCTGCTACTGCCAGATGAAAGGTAAAAATTCTCCATGCATCTAAATAATTCTCTATGCAACAACAATACTTCTCTAGCAAAATTGTAAAGGTGTTCAAGGCTGAAAGATTAAGAATGTAAATTTTCTTTCTTTTATTTAATTCACTTAAACATTTACAAGAATAGGAAATAAGGTTTTATGCAGTATTCAGTCTGCTGGGGGTGTTTATTGCATCAGTACAGCATGGAATATCACAGTGCTCATTACAGCATGTAATTAACTCTATAATCTCGCAATTTGCTCCTGATTTCGGCCACAGACACCACGCTCAACAATTTGTTCTCATAAATTAGGACAAATGTAATATTCTACAAGGCTTCTTTTAGAACATGAATGAACACACTACCACCATCCTCTTATATACCAACGAAACACTGCCCAGCCCCCCTCCAGAAAAAAAAAATGCAGTTTGCTCTTCCAAGAAGATGGTTTTCTCTAGGACCCTGCACAAACCGAACATGACAAACAAGATGGGCGAGGCCAGGCACAGCTTTTTCACAGGCTTCAGATCAACAAGCCAGAATCCCTTCCTCTCAGTCCACTCCCCTCACCTACACAAACACTGGAGCACCCAGAGGGGAACTGACCCTAAAGGGGCAGCGTGTAATTACCATGTACATTTTAAAGAGAAAATGTCAAACCATTTCTAGGAATTAATTACTGGGGAAAAACGATAATCCAACAGACACACCAAAATAAAGCCAGATTTCATTTCAGACAGTGTCTTTCTTAAATAACACCAACATGTAAGGAAAAAGTATCCTGCAGTTTAAAACACAATTTCTTAATCATAACACTATCAGGGAGCAATTCTGGAAAAACTAATGGGATTAAAATGTATGCCTTCTATACAATTGTTCTATTTAACTCTAAATTCAAATAAACTTTTTGTCACTGATGTTAAAAAATACAGCCGACAAAAGGCAGAGTTGACACACAAATCTACACAAAGTTAGACACTGAAACACAGGCCAGTAAGAAGTTACCACGGCAACAGTGCTCTGCTCCTATACACAGACAAGGACTGAAGAGTAAATATCCTTAAATTAACTCTGAACAACCTCAAATTACAAACAAGCCAATTTTTCACATTTTTGCAATAAATATACAAACCATTAAGTATGCACATCAATGAATTTTTTGCAAAACAGATCAACATTCAGATTAATAAAACACGATCCATACCCCCCCCAGATATGCTACAGACCATGGAGAGTCACCACCTCTTACCAGGTACCCTCCAGACCTCAAAGAGTAACACCTCTTACCAAAGCAAACCAGCTTAGAGTCTAATACCAAAGATGATTCTTGCTCATTATTTGAGCTTTTTATATATGTATAAAAACTTTTGGAACCTAGTCCTTTTCACTTGATGATGGAGGACACTGTTTGGAATTCATTCATTTTCGCTGTTTCTAGTTTTCCAACACAGGCACTTTAGAATTGATTAATAATGATCCCATCACTGACAGAGATTTGGACTAGCTGCCACTTTTTTTTTACTACTCAGAGGTGAACAAACAAAATGTAACAGATCTAAGGATCTAAGCATTATTGGCGAAGCAGGAAACACAGCACAGGTCATCCCTAAATTCATAGTCAAGAAGCCTGAAAAACACATGAAGCATTTTGGATTTTTAGTTTGGGATGCTTAACAGGCAAAAGCCTAAGCTTATATCCCCTAAATCTGAAATATTTCCTGTTAAAGCATTTTAAGGAATAATCAACACCTAATTTATTTTACATTACAGTAACTCAAAATTCCATACTAGCTGTCCTCAATATGTGCTACCCAGATCAGCAGTTGGGGAATGTGCCAAATATATAAAGCTTAGGTTCAACCCAAACCTAGGGAATCAGAAATTCTCAAGAAGTAATCCAGTTGGCCCAGCTCAGCACCTCATATGGACACCAGTTCAGGTCCCAGCCACTCTACTCCTGATCCATCTCCCTGCTAATGAGTCTGGGAAAACCAGTCGAATAGGACTGAAGTGTTTTGGTCCCTACACCCACCTGGCAGATCTGGAGGAAGATCCTGGCTCCTGGCCTCCACTTGGCCCAGTCCTGGCTGTTGCAGCCATCTAGGCAGTGAACTGTGAATGCAAGATCTAACTCTTTGTGACTAGGGCTTTCAAATAAAATAAAATGAATCTTTAAAAATTCAATCAAGTAGTCGGTGTGTTAATAAGTCTCTTGCAATTGTGATTTACCATCAAGTTTAAAAACTACTTCAGAGCCTGGTGTGAAGGCTCAATGGCTAAATCCTCACCTTGCCAGCACTGGGATCCCATATGGGCACCAGTTTGTTTCCTGGCTTCCCATCCAGCTCCTTGCTTATAGCTTAAGAAGGCAGTAGTGGCCCATAGTCTTGGTACCCTGCATCCACACGGGAGACTGGAAGAAGCTCCTGGCTCCCAATTTTGGATCAGTTCAGCTATGGCCTTTGAGGCCATCTGGGGAGTGAACCAAATAATAAGAGATTTTTCTCTGTCTCTCCTACTCTCTGCAAGTCTGCCTCTCCAATTAAAATAAATAAATGTTTAATAATAATAACAACAACAACAAAAATAACAAAACACTGCACCAGGCGAGGGTTGGCAAAGTTCTTCCACAACAGACCAAAAATGTATAGTAATCACTTCAGGCATTGCAAACTATATGCATACTATCTCTCTGTACAACTTCTCAATCCCGACACTGAAGGATAAAACTTCAGAAAAGACACAGGATATGTAAACAAATGGAAATGGCTATGTTTCCATCAAATCTTACATTCAAATCAGGAGAACACCTGAACATGGCTGTTGGCAACAGACATAACCACTGAAGAGCGAGCAAATGTGAAATGGAGACTTGGTGCATTGGTAAGTACCACACTCGGGACAGGTGCATCTCATAATGGAGTGCCTAGGTTTGTATGCAGGCTAGGATCTCCTCTGTGGCTTCCTGCTAATGTGAGCCCTGAGAAGCAGCAGGCAGATGACTCAGCTTGGTGGGTACCTACCACCTATGTGGGAGGCCCAGAATGAGTTTGAAGTTCCTAGCTTTTGCCTGGCCAAGCCTTAGCTGTTCTGGGCAATCAGGAAGTGAACCAGTGGGTCGGCAATCTCTCTCTGCCTTCCAAATAAATACACACTTCCACATATTAAAAAGCAGTAGAGGTGGACACAAGCATACACAAAACATACACAAAAAATGGTATAATAAATATAAAATGGTAACTATAAAAAAGCAAATGCATCAGCACTATCTGAAATCTAAATGTAGTACATAAGCCAATTAAAAGATCAAGACTGATTTTTAAAGATTTACTTCTTTGAAAGGCAGAGTCACCACTCAGAGAGGAAGGAAGACAGAGAGTCAAGTCTTCAATCTGCTAGTTCATTTCCCAAATGGCTAAAACAATTGCAAGTACAACAGCCAGGACTTGAACAGCTCTGGGACTCGAACCCAGGCTCTTCCAAGAGGATACAGGTTCCCTGTACGGTATCTTAACCAACAAACGCTGGCCCCAGAGACCGATTTTTTAATAAGTGGATTGGAAGGTTCTTAATGGTAGGAACTTTGTCTTGTTTGTGTTCCCAAGCTAGTAACTAGAATAACCCAAGTATAACTGTTCCTCACAGTGGATTAATGTTTACCGCTTTTTACTGTTGTCCTTTTGGACACAGCATTCTAAGCTGAGTAAAATCATTTGCAGCTCAAAATCTTCCTACGATTCTGAGGGCCCGTTGAGACTCTAGATACCACACAGGTCTCCCTCCTTTTCCATGCCTCTCTCCCATTTCCGTCTCTCCAGCTGCCTTGACGTGACTGTTTAAAGGCCTTTGCATGTGTTCCTCCTCTTGCCTGGTGTGCCTTTTCTCTCCTCACCTACACTGTTCACTTGCCATCTTAACCATTTCAATCACTTGTACCTTCTAAAGGAAGATTTCTCTGGATACTGGAACTGCAAACTTCCCAACATCTCATACTCTAAACTATCTCCCTACTCCAATTATCTCCTAGTACTTAGCATCACATACATTTCATCTACGAAGATGAGTAGCTTTGTATGTTTTTGTCCATGGCTCTATCTTGACCATGTGGCAAAATGCTGGAGTGACACGTTACCTAGTAGGGAGATACTCTGTCTCCAGAAAGAGCATCTCCCGTGAAATAATATTCTGAAGGTAAACCACTATGTAAAATGAATCAAAAATACACTCTTAAAAATATTCAAAGAAATAAATGCTTGAGAAGACTGTGAGACATAAAAACAAAATTAACACAGGAACTTGTATTCTGAAGGCTTTTTGGAACAAAGAAATTCAAGTAACACAGCACAGCCTAAAAGGA